TTTTTGCATAGAATCTCAAAAATTGATTTTGACATGTAATATATAGCAGGTCACTAGGGTTCTACCGAAACTCCGACGATACTCGGATGACTAAAACTATCGATCGCCTTTGAAGGTGGCGACTTCGATTGAGAAGGCGACCTTCTCCAATCTCCAGTGGTTGGAGAAGGCAACCACTTGTTGCCTTCTTTAACGACAACTGTACTGTCCGTTTTAGTCGTTAGAGCATTGTTGGAGTCTCCTGAAATTCTAGTGACCTCTATTGCAGGTCAATAACCGGTTCTTAGGTTTCAATGCAAGAAAATAAAATATTGATTAGTTTAATTACAACTTAAAAATTTCAAAGACTTAATTGACTTTTCGTATAAAGTTTAAGAAGTTATTTATTCAATAACCAAGACTATGTGGTCTAATGATACCCGAGTTGGATTTCCATTTGGAATGTTGTGAGTTTAAGTCTCAGTGAAGGCGTAGCTAATAACACTTTCATTGAGACTCGAACTCACAACCTCCCATATGAAAGTCTAACCCGGGTGCCATCAGACCACAAGATCTTGGCAATGATTAATTGTTAATACTCTTGAGGAAAATATTATCATAAATAGAGAGGTCTCGTGGTCTCAAACATTAAACTATTTTGGACATTTATTTATTGTGGTCAATAAGTTCTTAGAGTTATTCATATATTCAACTACCCTTTAACTTATTCACTGGGTGCTTTTCTTAATTTTGTTTTAGATTCTTCTTGCTTGTCTTGATTATTGATTCGTCTTTTATTTTATTTTAATTTCTTAATTATTTAATTTCCTCAACATATTTTTATGAATTTATTCTAAATGTGTATAGTCCCTATGAAATATGGTATTCGCTCATTACTCATCCTTCTATACTTAAAAAAAAAAAAAAAAAAAAAAAAAAAAAAAAAAAAAAAAAACCAAGCACATTGTGTCCAATTAAGAAAGTATGTTTGAACAGATACTACTATGTGATAAAGTCGGTAGCATTCAAAAAAAAAAAAAAGATAAATGTAATTGGCTAATCAATCCGATTTGTATACCTACAAATTGAGTATTGAGCCAACCAAGGAAGACGGATATGCTAAGAATAGATTCAAATATCATGTCATTGGCTGAACATCGACCAGACTATATATAACCCATTAAACAAAAGAAGCTACACCTATAAAATGATATACAAGAACTTGTAGAAAATGAAATCCGAACCATATCCTAACAGGGCGTCTAGTTGGTAGTAGGGAATTAAGAGAGAAAATAATTATAATTTCGTAGAAAAAGAATAAAGTGAAAATTTAAATTATATTGTTTGGCATGAATGAATAAAATGATTGAGAATTATAAGAGAAGAAGTGAATAAAGACTAAAATGTCTCTGTATAATAATAATAGAGTTAATACCCAAAATCGTCCTCGACTATAGTAGTTTTTCTCAATTTCGTCCTAAACGACTTTGTTGACCTAATATCGTCCCAGACTTTTGTGTTTCGCTCAATTTAGTCCTCCATTTGTTATTTCGTCAAATTGGTGTTAAATAAAGGGACAATTCAGTAATGTCAATATTGATCTATCTTTACTTTCAACTTGTGAAGTGCGAAATTCCTCTTTCTTGTACGAATTACACCCAGAATTACTCCCGGACCTGCAAATCAAATTTTATATTCGCAGTTTTAGGAGTAATTCTGGGAGTAATTCGTAAAAAAAAAAAAAAAAAGGATTTCGCAGTTCACATGTCTATGAGTAAAGAGATGTCAATATTAAAATTACTGAATTGTCTATTTATTTAACACCAAATGGACAGAATAACAAATGAGGGACTAAATTGAGCAAAAACACAAAAGTCTGGGACTAAATTGAGCGAAACACAAAAGTCTGGGACGATATTAGGTCACCAAAGTCGTTTAGGACGAAATTGAGAAAAACCACTCTAGTCGAGGACGATTTTGGGTATTAACTCAATAATAATAATAATAATATAATAATAATCATAAGAAGAATAAAATAGTAATTACATTGAATTACAATTCCACAAAGCGTGGCATTGTAATTTCTAGGAGGAACCCTGTGGAATTGCAATTCCCTCCAACCAAACCATGGAATTGCAATTCCATGGAGTTTGGTAAGAATGGAATTGCAATTCTATCCTATCAAACATTCTTGGTTGGATGTAGTTGGAATTCATTTCTTACTTTATTCCAATGCAATACAAATTGCAACAGTTGGTGGAAAGGAATTGCAATTTAATGCTTGTGGGAAAATAAAAAATAAAAAAAAATTACAAAAGTACCCTTGGTGATATTATTATTATTATTATTATTATTATTATTATTATTATTATTATTATTATTATTATACAATGACATTTTAGTCTTTATATCATTTTTTTTTCCTTCTCATTCCCAATAATTCTATTCATCCCTACCAAACAATGTAATTTGAATTCGTACATTATTCCTACCTTATTCTTTCCCCACCGAATTACAATTCATTTTCTTCCTAATTTCCTCATCCCAACTACAGACATATCAAGGAGGTACAATAACCACAAATTATTGGTCAAATAAGCCCTCAAACTTTTGCTAAAGAGTCAATTAGACCCTCAAACTTTTTAAAGGTGCAATTACACCCATGAACAATGCATTTTGATGCAATGAAACCGAAATACAGGTAAATGACCTTCTCCCACATACTGTCCACTAAACCATTGAGCTAAGCTCATGCGGTACATGTAAATGACCTGCTATCATGGGTCATTGAAGATCTGACGTATTTTCCGACAAAAAGTGACCGGTCTGACGTATTTTCCGACAAAAAGTGACCAGCGACCGGTTGGTCGCCGGTTACGAACCTTCTCCGGTTCAGAAGGCCACCACAGTGGTGGCCTTCTCATCCAGAGAAGGCAACCTAGATCTGGGTTGCCTTCTCCGGTTGAGAAGGCCACCATAGTGGTTCTCGTCCAGAGAAGGCAACCCAAATCTGGGTTGCCTTCTCCACCAATCGCCGGAGAAGGTTCGTGACCGGCGACCGGTCGCCGGTCACTTTTTGCCGAAAAACACGTCAGAAATACGCCGGATCTTTAATGACCTATGATAGCAGGTCATTTACCTGTATTTGGGCTTCATTGCATCAAAATGCATTGTTCATGGGTGTAATTGCACCTTTAAAAAGTTAAAGGGTCTAATTGACTCTTTAGCAAAAGTTTGAGGGTCTATTTGACCCTTTTTCCTAATTTTAATGAGAGCTAATGCCATTTTTGGTCCTAGACTTATTGGGGCATTAACACTTTTCATCCTCCATAATAAAAATTGTCATTTAGTAACCACTGTTATTGATTGTTGGACACTTTTAGTTCTCCGTCACTTGTACCGTCTGTTGATTGTGAAAATGAAGGGCATTTATGTCATTTTATGTCTTCTTCTTCACTCTTTGCCGTCTCTAGGTAGAAACCATCTCATAATAATTTTTTTTTTTTGAGAAATCTCATAATACATTAATACCTAAACTATTCCAAATGTAAAGGGAAAAAAAATTATTACAAATTTCTTCTTTTTTTTTTTTTTAAAAAAAAAAAAAAAAAAAAAAAAAAAAAGAGCAAAAAACAAATAATTATAATTCATCGTCAACGTTTACAGGTCGCCGGCGTTTCACTGCCTCTCTCTTCTCCCCCACCGATTTCCACCTTCGCTCCAGATTCAAAGCCTCCACTTGCCGATTATCCTCCTCAGCTACCGATTTTCACCTCCACGCGTTTGGATCTGTACTTACAATGATTGATATATTCACAGCGAGGAGAAGAATTTGGTTTGACAGTGAAAATGAGAGAGTAGATCTGGGGGGGCTCAGTGGTTGTCGACACGGTCAAAATAGAGTGGTCAGAATAGAGTGGGATAATGAACGGCTCAGTGGTTGTCGATAAGAGGAACAGAGTTCCAAGGTGTTCGAAGATGGCAGCTATAGCGGTTGCGACTGTGGAGACGGTAGTAGTAGCGAAAGTGGAGGTCTTCTCCGGCAGTGGTAGTTGGTTGCAACTGTGGCGGTTGCGGCGGGGAACAACAACTCTAATCTTTGCTCTCTCTTTCTCTCTCTCGTCCACGAGCAGTAGCAGCCATATGTAAATCTTTCTCAGGCAAATCTCAAGAAATCGGAGTAGATGACGGTCGCAGTGGTGGTTTCAGTTGTGGATGTTGATGGCTAATTGATGTAGTCTGGAGATTTGAGCTCTTCATTTTGCTTCTGTTTCGCAATTTTACCCCCAAAATTTATACTCCCACCAGATTGAATTAGTGAAGGGGTTCCCTCTTAGAAGTTCCGCCTTGCGAGAACACCGCCGCCCCCGCCGACGAGATTGACTTGTGTGGGTGGTTCAAGAAGAACCCAACTGTGCTCTCTCCTCCATTACTGCCGGCGCTGTTCCAACCAACCATTCTTGAAAAATTAGCATCCAAGGTCGCCAAATTTGAAGGGTGGGCAGGCTCGGCAGGGACAGAATCGAGATGGGCGAAGGGTTGGAGCCGAAGAGGGCGAGTAATCCAACTGCACACCCGCGGTTGGCTGTTCTCTGGCTGTGACGAGGGAGAAGAAATGTGTGACAATAGAGAGGCGAATGAGGATGGTGAAGCTATAGTCTTCATACGACAGACCACGATGAAGAAGACCATTGGAAATGACAAAAAAGCCCTTCATTTTGACGGTGAACAAACAGAGAAATTGACGGAGGACTAAAAGTGTCCAACGATCAATAAGCGTGGCTACAGATTGGCAATTTTTATTATGGAGGATGAAAAGTGTCAATGCCTCAATAAGTTTAGGACCAAAAATGACATTAACTCTTTTAATGACTTAACAATACATGCTTGATAGACGCTTTTCCTTTCTCTTGAGTTAACCAAATGATCTGAGGTTGCTGGTTACAAGCTATTGAGTTTCATGGATGCATTCTAGGGGTACCACCAGACATTTTATAGTAAAAGAAGACATGGACTGCTGCTTTGTTTTTCCCCTGGGTGGAGTGGAATCATTTTCAATTTTAGGTAACAAAAAGCAATGTTAGTAGCACATGATAATTCTACATTATCTACAAATATTCTTTTCATCAATCATCTACTAAATGTTGCATAGTAAATGGCACACTCAAGTGTCAACAAGCACCAACTGGTTCCAGCTTCTCATGTATTGCCTTGTAGCACTGAAGGCTACAAAGTGGAAGTTTTGACTTGGAATCGCGATACTTGTATGCATTTGTACAAGATGGAGCTGCACATTTTTCGCGTGGTGGAGGATAACTGAAGAACAAATCAATTAACACTTGTAGGATAATTTCAAAATCGCAAAAATAAAATGCATAAAGCTGTACAAATTCTGCACCTGCAAGACTTGGGCTCAAATATACTTGGGAGGCCTATCTCGTTAGGGAAAGTCACGACTGTTCCCGAGGGACCCAAGACCCATCTGATAGCATTTGATGGATGTGCTGCAGCTCTTGCATTCCTCTCCTGCATGTAAAAAGTACGAACCATAAATAACGGAAGCCAAGGGAAGGGGCTCGATATGCAAGTCTTGTTGTAACCTGTGCTGACTCCTCTTGTCTCTTCTTCTGTTTCTCTTCTCGCTTCTTCCTGCTAGAGTCTTGACCCAAGATTTTCCTGATTGCCTCGGCCTGCAAAAGTCGTAAATTAATCAGTACGTCACTTCACAACGAGATGTTCTCCAGCTACACAGTAAAAGATGTAAGAACCTCGGATTCCCGGGCAGCCTTTTCAGCTTGCATCCTGCGTCTTTGAGCAGCCTCCGCTTTCTTCAACTGTTGTTCAACTTCTGAGAGTTTTTCCCTTTGCTCTGTGGCCGAATGGAAAGAAGATTTGTCAGAAGACATATATTAATTGGTATTTCGCGATACATAGAAATCGATTGATACTCACTTTTAGGTGGAGGGGGTAGTCCATGAGGGAATTCAATTGCACTCATACTCGATAGCGATGATACTTCCTTGCCAGTTTGAAGAGCACGCCTTCGTGTAGTCATAGCCATTTCATTCCTTGCAGTTCCTAAGATATCAGTTAAATCCTTACAATGTTTCTTCTTGGGTCTTAACTCAGCATCAGATAATGACTCCTCTTCTTCTACATAATCAGCATTATCCTCAAATGCTCTAACTGATTTCGTATTCTTTCTCTCTTTGCGTGCTTTTGAGTTGTAATCCCTTGGTTTCACATCATAAACATTGGCACTCTGATTCAAGACTTTTGAAATCCTCAGCAGCTTTTTACTTCCTTCTTCGTCTTCATCATTTTCTCCACCATAACTAGCTGCAAATTTGGAAGTCCTTAATTTTTCCAGATAGCGAATCTCATCATCGTTGTCATCTTCATCATCTTCAGTATTGTATAATTCACCTAATTGGGATGTTTTAGAGACATGTTTGCCCTTACGAGCTGGCTTGTATTTAGCAGATTGCATCAAAGGGATATCCCCTGAAGAATTTGATCTTCCAAAACTAAAACCACTCTTTGAGAAGTCCTTCCATGGAATACCCTGCAAACCAATTCCCTTGTCTGAACTATCCTGCAAACATTTGAAAACAGACATTAATTTAGCCTACACTTGATCCATTTCAGTAAGTTCACACCCGAGTTAATTATTATATTGAATGTCATAGTTTCAACTTTGGGTTGTTTTAACACACGATCTACTTTTTCAGATTCCACATGGAGTATTGGAGTTGAAGAGTAATTAAAAGACCCAAAATGAATAACCAGCTTAGTTGGCGTGAGTGGCCGTGCACTCTTGTCCCTTAAGAGAGATCGGAAATTCGAACCCCCACTCGTATGGAAAAACCAATCTGGCCAGCATTTTACCCCTTAATTGGGTCAGCCCGGTTCGAACGGGACTAATCTGAGTATGGTACGGGCTTAAAGGTGCCTCCTACAGTTAGGGCCTGCTCAGGACACCTCGTGGTCTGACCCAAAATAAATGCAAATTTAAAAATGAACCTTATGCCTGCTCAGGACACCTCGTGGTCTGACCCAAAATAAATGCAAATTTAAAAATGAACCTTATGCCGTTGATGGGGGACACTTGAAGAGGAAGACGACTTAGTCAACGAAGGCCCAGCACCAGTGTTTGTGTGTATGGTTCGAACAACACCCCCAACCTTAAGTTTCACTTTCTTAACTTTACTGTTACTTTCAACTCCATGTGACGCTACTCCTAATTGTCCAGAATGGTAATCACTTGTTATCATTCCACCTGTTTCAACACCGCTCACCGTAGGTGTTGCTTGGTTATCTTTAATTACTCTGGTTGGATGCATGCCCTGACTATCATTTTTGGCAGAAAATTCATGGGTTTCCTTCACACCAGTATTTGGGTAATATTCGGGTTCATTAATGTTAGAGTATGATGCCCCCGAAACAGCACCATGATCAAAGTTATCACCACTTGATGCTTTGCTCTGACTATCCGATGGCAGCGTTGATGACATAGAAGAGCTACCACAGTAATCTGGAGGAGAATGAGAGTCAATTTGAGGACGCCGATATAGATTACTACGCTTTCTTCTACAAGGTTTTCCGTCACCACTGTCCACGGCGACAACTTCAAAATTATCCATACTGCCAGAAAATGTTTACCAAAACCCTTTTAAAGCTGCAAAGTGAATCAAACATGCATTTTAGAATTAACCAAGAAACATGTACATGAAAAGAAAAACAAAACAAAAGATTTAACCAAGAAACAAAAGATGAAGCGTTATATTATATCCAATCACATTGCATAGCTGTACACGGTTATGAATTTGGTAGCAGCATACAGTTACAAATTTCTATATCACCTCAACTACTCACAAAATAACATCACGGCTAGAAGGTAGCAAGTTAAAGGTATCAAAGTTATCAAGGCGGACTTTCTAGGCGAGATGCCACCAACTGCCTAGTCGATGACTAGACGATGAGTATTAAATAAATAAAATAAATAAAATATATACATATATATTGAAAATATCTTGTCTTGGGCAGCCTATTTACTTCAAGTTGCCTTTAGTAGATGAATAGTTTTTCCTAGAATAATGAGAAGTTTAGTATTTATTGTATATTAGAAATATCTTGTCTTGGGAAGCCTTTTTGAACCCTATTTACTTCAAGTCATCTTTGAGAAAATGAATAGTTTTTCCTAGAGTAATGAGAAGTCTAGTATTTATTGATAACATGTCAGGGTGAGATAGTGGGCTTTGCTCGGAACAGGAGGACGACGCCGGAGCTCGAACAGCGCCGCCATCGGAGCCTCCACGCGCCGGCGCGTGAGGCAGATTCCGGCATCTTCTCCGGCTGAAAATTACACCGGTCAACTCGCCTTAGTGTGTAGGTTCTACCCATGTATGTTTTGGGGGGTTTTGGGTTGTATTTTGCACTTAGGCGAGGCGAGCGACTAGGCGCAAGGCCGTGACCGCCCAGACGCCTAGGCGACGCCTTGATAACCCTGAATGGTATCATGGCAATGAGCTAATAATCTGCACAGACCCACATATTCCATGATACTAAACAAAAAATTCAAGTATAGATGTAGTAAAAAAAAAAAACAGTTTTAAAGTCTAGAGTTGTGCAAGAGTTTCTATTTTACTTGGACTACATTTCCAAGGTTACACAGAAAGGAACAGTGTAGAGTAAATTCTTGCACAATACCCCTAAAACTATCAATCTGGCATAACAAAGTAACAAAATCTCTTGTGCGCAACGACATTTGGCCCGCCCGGTCTATTGAGTCACTAAGTTACCGTGATTTACCTCCTCCCACATGCTCTGTGGGCCGGGGCGTGTGGGCCTGTTAGAGTTGGGATTCAACTTCAACCTTTTGGGAGAAGAAAAGTAACAAAATCTCATACAATAATTTCATAAAATAAATGCACCACACTCTGAGCAATCACAAAACTTGCAGAATCCACACAAAGGCAGTGAAATGACCAAAGACAATCATTATTCACAAGCCTATCAACTACAAAAATGTGCAAAACAAGTCAGTAACTACAAAATTCAAACGCTACAGTATGACCCCCACCGTACAAGCAGCGCAAAATTAAAATTTTAGGGAAAGGAAAAAAACCTAAGACAAAGAACTTTTGATCTGGGTATTCAAAAAGCCCTACTACTAGCCAACAAAAATTATTCAAGAAATAAGCAAAAATAGGAGACTTGACCTTCTGGGTATCGCGCAGAAGCTTCAGAAGGCGGTAGAGATGAGGCAAGGGAGCATGAAAGTTGAAAGGCAGAGAAGAAAACGAAAATGGCCTAGGGCTGGAGGGTATTTCTGTAATTTAGGGTGACAGGTGATGGATGGTGGCAGGGTTAAGAGAAGCTGTGGGGCAAGTGGTAGTATACGCGGAGGACTATATGCACTCAGATTAATCATCATCATCATCATCCTCTTTCTCAATACAATTGCCATGTTCCTTGCTTCCCTCTCGTGCGATCCGGTTTTGAGTGTGTAAGTTTTGGGTCTTCACCCTTTTGACATAAAATTTTTTTCGGAATAAGGGTCAAATAGGCCATCGAACTGCACACGATAAAACAATTAGGCCATTGAACTTAAAAAATCAACAATTAGGTCCCTAAATTAATCAATTTCAAACAATTCTTCCAATTTGAAGGTTTCCAACAGATCAACAGGTCATCTCCCAAATTAATTATTTTTTTTAAATATAAATTTTAAAAATTAATTATTTTTAAATTAAATTAAATTTAAAAAAAAAAAAAAAAAAAAACTGGAATCCAGCCGGAGACGAACCAGTTTTTTTTTTTTTTTAAATTTAAATAATTAATTTTTAAAATTTAAATTTTAAAAAATAATTAATTTGGAAGGATAACCTGTTGACCTGTTGGAAACCTTCTAATTGAAAGAATTGTTTGAAATTAATTAGTTTAGGGACCCAATTGTTGGTTTTTTAAGTTGAGTGGCCTAATTGTTTTATTGTGTGCAGTTCGATGGCCTATTTGACCCTTATTCCAATTTTTTTCCTATACTATCCTGTTAGGATTGGCAAATTATTATGTGTAATATGGTCCACACAGCATAAAAAAAAAAAACATTTCAATTTATATCCTACACCACGGCACGCGTTGCACTATGCGCCCAGATGCAAAACGACGTCGTTTTAATTATTTTTTTTTTTGAAATTTCCCGCCCCAGTGAATGGCAGTAGTTTTTTCTTTAAAAAAAAAAAAAACCGATGTTCAAGAATGTACATAATGTTATACTAGAATACACATAATGTTATACATGAATGTACATAATTATATAACAAAATATACATACTCTTTTTAAAAGATATACACATAATCTAACATAATACATAATAAACATAAACTTTTAACATAATACACATCAACTCTTAACATAATACACACAAATTTTCTGATTCGGATGTACATAATTGTATAAAAAGAATGTACATAATTGTATAAAAAATACACATAACTGTATGAACCAATACACATAACGTTGTGAACAAATACACATAACGTTGTGAACAAATACACATAATCTCAGCAACTTCCTACTGCGCCTCCCAACACTACCCCAAAACGACACGACGTCGTTTTGGGAGGCGCGCGGCGCACAGTGCTATGTGCGCCGTGGTGTAGGATATAACGATTGTTTTTAATGCGCTAAAAGTATATTATTTGTATACTAATAAATGTACATTATAGTTGGGAATTCGATCCCCATCCATGTGAATGGAGCAAACCATTGGGTCAGTCCTCTATCACTTAGTGTGCTGACCGTTGGGACGGAGGATTAGTCTTCTGGTTTTCGGTTGGAGGGATACCTTTGGGCAACCAAAAAAAATATACATTATAAAAAATAATATATTTTTAATATTTAAATAATATATTTTTTCCAAATATAATGTATATTAATTGTGTACTAACTGTCCATTATCTGATACGGAGTAGTATACAAAATAATGTATTTTCCGTACTTAAATAATATAATTTCTATTTATGGTGTGGACACATAATAATGATTGGTTACAATTAGAATTTGTTTTGTAATTGTAAAATATATACAATTAGAATTAATCCAAACTTCTTAAAACAACCAACATTATTGGAGGTCCAAATCATGACCTCTATAATAAAGACAGTCACAACTCACAAGTGTCTTGTAAAATAATCTGTAGTTATCTTCCTTGAAAAAATTTTTTTTTTAAAAATTATACAATTGTACACTTTGTTCCACGTAAATGTCACTTATCCGTCTGATTAGAGAAAACAAGTTTTTTTTTTTTTAGAACAAAGCAGAATATATATTAAATATGGTCTGAAGACAAAATATTACGGATAAAGGAAGGAGGGTTTGAGAACTACTCCGAACAACCAAGCGTAGAAACGGACTGTTAGCTATAGCGTGAGCTGTCTGATTCGATGATCGTTTAGCAAAACTAACAAATACATGAGAAAATGTACTCAAATGGTGTTTAATATCATTGACAATCAAATGAAAAGAAGAATCTCCATTCGCATGTTTCAAACTTTGAACCACCTTTAGAGAGTCGGTTTCAATTTGTATGTTGTCCATATTCATGCTCTTGATCCAACTTGTGATTATTATTATTATTATTATTATTATTATTATTATTATTATTATTATTATTGTTATTATTGTTATTATAATATTTGTATAACCTATAGTTAGTAATATGTGGTTAGAATAAGTCTACTCTTTGTATCCTGTTAGATAGAAGTAGTTAGAGGTATACTCAGATATACACTCCTGTAATCTTATCGTTGAATTATGATTGGATTTGAATTCCCATCTGGTATCAGCCTAAACACGATCCTCCACCGCAAACCTTAAAGCTTCTCGGATTGCAACAGCCTCCGCTTCTCTTGGCGTAAAGTTTCCTCTCCAATGGACGTCTCTAGCAGCAACAAAGTCACCTTCTGCCACTAGTACAAAAACATCAATAAAATCGACTAATTTGCGTCCAAAGTGTAAAGAACTAATTCGACTAGAACTTTGGACGCCTAAAGTGTAATGCGGTGGCATTTTTGTAATTAAAAGGTCACTATATAAATATTTTTTTTTTATTCGCGTCCAAAGATCAGTACTTTGGACGCGAATAATAGAATCCCTTTAACCAAGCGCGTCCAAAGTGGCTAACTTTGGACGCGCCTTATTAATTTTATCCACACAATCCTAGCATCATATCATACCCACGCACCACCTTCCACAGCAGATCAGATCGCAGCACTCCATCCTCCACCGCACGCCGTCCATCGCCGTCGTCCGGCCCGTCCAGTCCATCACCAAACGCTTCCGCGCTGTTGCCGCCCAAGCTCCTCGCTGCTGCCGCCCAAGCTCGTTGCCGCTGCCGCCCAAGCTCGCCGCTGCTGACGCCCAAGCTCGACGCCGCTGCCGCAGCTACGCACGCCGTCGGGGAGCAGGTACGTAATTTATAAAAAAAAATTTGTTATTTTTTTTCGAAAATCTGTAATTATTTTAATTAGTTTTTGTTATTTGTTATTGTTGTTTATTTATTTTAAAATTTGTTGTGTATTATTGTATATATATTAGGCATTGTTGTGATTGATAGTTTAATAGAAAAAATTGTGTATTCTCATAGTAGCATTATAAGATTGTTTTTTTAGAGCATGATGGATGGATAGATGCTTTATGAAATATTGCATATTTTACAAACCATTATCTTTATCTTATCTTTGTTTTTTCATTGAAAAATTAATTATAATTTTTTTAATGAGATTTGTGTGGTATTGTATATGTATATAAAAATGTGTATGTGTATTATGTATTATTATTAGTTTAAATTAATTAATCTAGGTAATATTTTAAATTTAAAATTATTTAGTTAAAGCTTTAATTTGAACCTTTAAGTTATAACTTAAACTAACTCATTTATCATATCTTAAATGTTGTGTGATAATATATAGGAGATATGATCAGAGTTGGATGTATAAAAAACGCAATACACTTGAATATGTTCATGGGGTTCAAGAGTTTATTAAAATTGCCGAGGAATATGAACGTAAAATTGATGAAAATTATATAGTGTGTCCTTGTTATGATTGTAGAAATCTAAAAAAATTTCGTAGTTCTGAACAAATTAAGGATTTGATACATCGTGGTTTTAAGCTAGGATATGACCGGTGGGTATAGCATGGTGAAACTGTCCCTACTAGTAAGAGTACAAATCAAAGAGAATGTTGAAAGAATGTAGAGAAAGACCAAAGTAATGAAGATAATGTTGGAAATGATGGAGACAATGATCGGCTAGATGAATTGATGCGTGATATGCAAGGGGATTTGAATGAAATGCCTCAAGAGTTTGAAAGTTTTTTTGAGAGTTCTGGAAAACCTTTGTTTTCTGGATGTAGTAAATTTACAAAGTTATTAGCAGTGCTTAAATTGTATGCCGTAAAAGCAAAAAATAGGTGAAGTGATAAGAGTTTCACGGAGTTATTAGAGCTTTTAAAGGGCATGCTTCCTAATGAGAATGAACTTCCTTGTTCAACTTACGAGGCAAAGAAAATGTTATGTTCGTTGAGTATGGAGATTGAAAGGATCCATGCATGTCCAAACGACTGTATTTTGTATTGGAATCAATACAAAGACTTGCATGTGTGTCCGAAGTGTGGAGCATCGCGTTATAAACAAAATTGGATCAATGCAAAAAATTGGTCAAACATCTTAGAAACTTGCTGTAACAACCCAAAATTTTATTTTATAAATCCAATTTTAAGAAATTCCAAAATAGCCATTTTCACTCTATTAAAAATTTTTACAATCAATTGGTGTTTGAATAAAATTATTTTAGTCACAGTTTAAATTAATTCAACACCAAAATTTATCTTATTCAAAATTCCTAAAATCTCGGGTACTTCGCGTACTAAGTTTTAAATCGAGAAATTTATCTGAGTGAGACCGGGAGAATTCAAAAAGATTTTAAACAAGGGTTCATCTAATTAGCTTTTTGAGAAAATTCATTTTCAACCCCAAAGTATTCAAAGTTAGCATTTCTAGCCTTTGGACCATGAAGTATGGTGAACCACTAGCCTCCACATTTGTCTGATGCTTTAATTGAGAGCCAATAAGATTGTTCCTTTCATCAACCAATCATAAGAAGATCTTCTAGGGTTTTGGACCCTATAAAACTCACATCTTCCATCCTTAATTTCCTGATCTTCCCTACCTAGCAGCTCAGCAAGAAACCAAAGGAAAACATAGTAAGTGTTCTTAGGCCAATCTCATCCATTCTTTTTCCTTTAAGGTTTTCATCCTCCTTTGCTTCAATCTCTGAGTTTGGTTAGGTTTGGCTTGTGTTATTGTTAGTGGTGTCTAGATGGTGTTTGGTTTGGTGTTGAGTAGAATGGAGCCTGAGGTTCACACAAGGAAGAAGAACAAGAAGAAGATGCAACAAGAGGTATAACCACATGGATTCCTCTTTAAA